GACAATTTGTTTTCCTCCTCGCTGGGCATTCAGCAGTTGTAAAGTCGACTGCAAGTTCATCCTAAGCCACAGCACTAGGAGTGGAATTCCAAGTGAATCTGCTCCTATGCTTCTCCAGCAGCTTCCCAGTCATCTTAATTTTTTCCTCCCTTTTTTTCCTCGCTATTTTGACGACTCAGTTCTTTCTTCGCAACTTTCATGTTCGCATAATATTTGTTCCCTACACAAACAGGCCATTAAATCCACTTCAGCTATTATATCGATGTCAGCAAATAATTTCTGACATTGCTCAAGGGACAACGTTTTTGTTCACCAAAACAACTCTGAACGTGCAACAGGGCCAAAGTGTTTGGGTTTAGGAGCGTAAAGATAAACACCAGTAATTAATAATTAAGCACTTTATATAAGTATGACATTATTCCTCCCCAAAGAGCCTGGGTGTCTACAGCTCAAAGTTGGCAGTGTGTCTTTCAAATGTGCACGTAATAAATACTGTATTTCATCAATGCTGTCAGTACAAAACATTTGATTTATCCAAGTCTTAAAGCTGCAGAGACTGTAACAACTTCTACTACTTTCAGTGCTAAACAACAGTTAGAAGTGCCTTGAGGTGGGAATTGAGATTTAAACCCAATTTCAGGCTCTGTTGTTATATTTTTGAATTATTTGGGGCATCGCTTTTCTCTGCTCCTCCGTGATATGGGGATGTCTGTAACTTCCTTTCAGCTCTTCAAAAAGAGATCCTAAAGCTTATGCCTTGGTAAAATAACGCTATTTCTGATGTACTGAGGTCCTGCAGCACTTGTTAACTTCAGTTCTAACATTTAAACTCTGTGCTGCCAGCATGGTGAGCACCATACCCACCCCTTTGGTCTGTTGGAATCTGTGGGGGAATCAAGCAATGCCTTACCTGTTTACTGCAGTGGACGCTGGTTTTATTCCTGTTGTTGTCCAGCAGCCCCCCACATTTGCCCAACGCTGCCAAATCCTTCATAATAGAGTTCAGAGCTTCTTCTTCATCTGCAAAAGAAGGTGAGACAACTGAAGTGCGGAAGGCAACCTCACCCCCAGAACTACAGAGTGAAAATGCAGCTTACAAGAAAACTGGAGAGGGAATCTTGACAAGGACACGCAGTGAGTGACAGGACATGAGACAATGTCTTTAAACTGACAGAGGGTCGGTTTAGATTAGATGTTAGGAGGAAATTTTCCGCTGTGAGGGTGGTGAAGCCCTGGCACAGGCTGCCCAGGGAAGCTGTGGATGACCCATCCCTGGCAGTGTTCAAGGCTAGGTTGGATGAAGCAACCTGGTCAAGTGGAAGGTGTCCCCGCTCGTGGCAGGGGGATTGGAACTGGGTTATCTTTAAAGTCCCTTCCGGATCCAGTTTTTGAGGTGTATGGTGGTGCTCTGCAGGAAAGAGATCTTTCAGGACCCAGAAATCTCATGGCAGCAGGTGATGGAGCACAATCCTGTTCTTCATCTCCTCCTTTCCTCCCTCTTCATTAAGGGTGCTCAAGAACCACAGCTGATTTTCAAAACCAGAGGCAGCAAGAAACCACGGGAGAGGGCAAGGAACTCATAGGAAGACATAAAGTCAGCAATGCTGGACAGAAGAAACTAGAGAACTTTGAAGGACCCATTCGATCTGAAACCAGTCTCCTCCTTTTCACCACTTTTCCATCTGAGGTTGTGGCCTCTTAAAGCAGCTCTGAACTGTGACACTGCAAAATACCAACCACAAGCTCTAAGAGCCCTGTCGAGACCTAGGGCAGGGCACACTCCTTAGGAGGGTGTGAGGACCCACTGCACGCTCCGTGTTCGTGATATAACCAAGGCAAATATTAGGCATGTGCAGCTATTACTGTAAAAATCCAAATACAGCTACAAATTTTGTCTAAAAACGAGTGTCTCCAGGGACAGAACCACCCCTACACCAAGCCAGCCTGCAGATTTAACTCAAAGTCCACAAATATGTGAAAAATTACAAAAATTATATGAAATCAGACGGGACCGGACCCAAATACTGAGGGATCTTTCCCCAGGGAGGTGTAATCCTGGATCCTCATGCACAGGATCATCATATCCTCTTTTTCTGCTCCTCCTGCTGGGTTCTGTCATGACTGAAGGTGCAAAGAAAAAAAAAAAAGTGAGAAAAAGACTCCTCATGCATGCTGTGCACCCAGAACCATCTCATTAAAGAAATAAGGGGGAAAACTGGGGGAAAATGTTTAAAATCCAGTGTCACTTTCATTTTATTGCTCAGAAATGAGCTCCAATGCCTACATCAGAGTATTAGGAAAATGCATACATTTTCCTGTAGATGATGTGTGCGTGTATAGTATAGTATATATTTATATCTATATATATATTATATATACTTATTTATATATATTTATATTTTATATTTAGTATATAAACAGATATCTACGTATCAATATTAAATATACAACTGATAAAATAATAAAATTCATACCAAAGTACATTAAAATACAATTCCTTTTCCTTTCCACATTTCCCTATTTACTAAACACACAGGTGGGTTTTTCCAAAGGGGTGGCAGGGAGAACAGCCTGAAATGCTACAGGAAAACACTCAAGAAAAAGATAATTTTCAGTTTTAGTTCAGAGGAAAAAAAACCCAAACCAAACAAACAAAAACCAAAACCACAACAAGAATATCCCCAAAGTTTGGGTTTGGGGTGTTTTTCTTTTGTTGTTGGTTTGGTTTGGGTTGCTTTTTTTTTTTTTTTTTAATTTTTTAAAGGACCTCTGGGACAAACCCAGTTTTCCACACAGATTTTGTGG